GCTGGCCCTTGGAAAGTCTTTGGCTGGTCCTTGGAAGGTCCTTGGCTGGCCCTTGGAAGGTCCTTGGCTGGCCCTTGGAAGGTCCTTGGCTGGTCCTTGGAAGGTCCTTGGCTGGCCCTTGGAAGGTCCTTGGCTGGCCCTTGGAAAGTCTTTGGCTGGTCCTTGGAAGGTCCTTGGCTGGCCCTTGGAAGGTCCTTGGCTGGCCCTTGGAAAGTCTTTGGCTGGCCCTTGGAAGGTCCTTGGCTGGCCCTTGGAAAGTCTTTGGCTGGCCCTTGGAAGGTCCTTGGCTGGCCTTTGGAAGGTCCTTGGCTGGTCCTTGGCTAGTCCTTGGCTGGCCCTTGGCTGGTCCCCTTCAATTCCTTTTTAAACATCAATCTTTGTACTAAAATATTCTTTCTGTCCTGATTTGTGGACAGGAATTTTGCTGCCATTCTGCTGGATTTGACTGGGAACGGCCATTTTGAATGGCTGCTACCGAATCTGAAATCCGTCGAGTTAAAGGACGTTTTTCGACATTTTTTGTGTTCCTGGTAATTTAAATGTTTCTTAAAACACCAAACCTTTTTTTCTTATATTTAACAGGCTAGGCTAGGTTAGGGTTACACACACCATGAATCTGCTGCTAAGCAACACTCTGGTAGACAGGAAGTGACATCACAAACAGGAAGTTACCTGTGAGGACAGCAGGTTACAGTCGATGTGAGCTCCTCTACCCGTCCTCTGCCTCTGCAGCAGGGCGGCCATGACGGCTCCGTGTGCGTACAGCCCCGTTGCTAGATCCGTCATGGCGACGCCCGGACGAACCGGCTCTCCGTCCTACGACAGCAAAGCATCATGGGAGCTTAGGCTGTTTGACAGACTGATGACATCATCATCATCAGAGCTCATTTCACATCCTTCCTGCTCCGTTCTGAGCCCAGAACCTAAAGAAGGCGCTCTGACCTCCGGCCCGGTGATGTGCATCATTCCAGACACCGCCGAAGCGATGGAGTCGTATCCCGGACTCTGAGACTGGGGACCCGTCTGTCCGTACCCTGAAGACAAAACAAAAGGTTCTAGGAAAACCAGAACCCAGCTGCCATGAATTAGAGGCCTCTGGGATTACTGGGAGGTATGGGACTCAACGGGAATCTGCTGCTCCAGCGGTTTAACCGGACCTGGAGGTGGTTCTGTGAGTCTGAGGACCGTTTAACATCAGGAGGTCAGGAAGAAACAGGATCCTCAGTGGATCGTAGAACCAGGACCCAGACTGAGACCGGGTCCAGGAGGTCGGTACCTGATATGGAGCAGTAGATGAGCCGTGGATTCAGTCTGCTCAGCTCGGCGTATCCTAGACCCATCTGAGAGAGCTTCCCTGGCAGGAAGTTCTCCACCAGGACGTCACTCACACCTGCAAGCTGAACGCACGCCATGAA